TGTAAGCCACTTAGGGAGGCCATTCTGGCAGTTATAGATGGCATATAAATATGTGAATGGATAAATAAATAATTCAAATATAGAGTAAGGTCTTCATCAGCAGGCTGATGGATAGTATCTCAGACATGAGATATCCTAGGCTGAAAGAGTTGCCAAAAAACCTTGAATTTCCTCACTGAGGCCCCTTTAATATCTCTTCAGGTCTCAGGTTCACAAAACCCTGGAAACCCACTGGTCTATCCCAGTGTGTGTCTAGCTCAATATGTATTCCTGGTCATAGTCATCATTAGTTGGTCTCTCCTGATAAGCAAGAAGTTACCTGTGGATCAAGGCATCAGCACTAGTTCTTCTGCCATGCTTAAACTGTTATCTGCTTAAATAGATAATCAGTTGTGATCTGCATAAATCACAAATATTAAATTGGTCTTGAAAGAGTATGCATCTGAATAGTTTTGAAACAGCCTTGGGGGATTATCTTTATGTAGTGGACAACTATTCATATGTTGTGAGCCGCCCCGAGGCTATGGCAAGGGGCGGCATAGAAATGTTTTAATAAATAAATAAATAAAATATTCTATCAAAGCTTTAGCAAGCTCTTGAAAAAAGTGAGTGCCTTGTTTCAGTGGCCAACTAATATAGCGTGTGAAGGTACCATTGCCTCAGTGGCTAGAGACAGCAAATCAAAGGCAAATGACCACTTTATTCTGATACAATTTTGGTACTCAATGACAATGTATCAGCCTTTGTCATGCCTTCTTGATATTTTTTCCTTTCCTTACTATGTCAACGTGCCATAGGCTCATGTTAGGTAAGCAAGATGCACAAGCAAGATTCCTGCTACATGGTCCATTTTTGTCATGCATGCATGTTCTGGCAAACTTCAGGGGTGCACATGAGAGGCTAACCAGTTTGGCTGGACAGACAGCTTTGAATTTGAGTAGTTTGCACCTTCTGGGGAGACTGACAGCTCAGAGTGATAACAAGATGATTGTTGAAATAGTCCCATTTCCAGATGCAGTCCAAGGCCCTGGGCACCCACCTCTGCCTGCTATGGGAAAGATGAGTTCAAGGGCAGCTGAGGGGATCAGTCAATCCACCCGTTAGAATGAGGAAGAGCAACAACATTGTCAGTGACAAGATTTAGAGATGGGGAATCTTATCGCTAGGGGAGCCTGTGCTCCTGAGGAGGTGGACCCAACAGTCCGTCATCACAGTCATTGGGTGGCCCAAGTAGGGTCTCTGAGGGAGGAGTGCAGACTCCTCCCCACAGGCACAGACACAGAAAGATTCATAAGGAAAGGTTTGGGTGAAGAATGTCAGAGAGGATTCAACATTTTGCTTTGCTTTGTGTATGCTCAGTGACTTGTGTGCAAAATAAAGACATCTGGCAAAGAAGCACTGGTGTGTGAAAATTACTGATACTGCTGAGAAGGAGAAGCATGGCTCACAACACTTTTAAACAAATAAAGAAACAAATTTCTTGGTGAGAGCAAAAGCTGTCTAGAGCAAAAGAAAAATAAGGACAGACCCACTCATACAAGAAGGCTACAACAACTGAATCAAACAGTAATAGTGGACTTCTAAGAACAATTTTGTAGCATTTAAGTTGTAACAGAAGATTTGCCCCTCTCAGAAGAAAAAGTCACCAACACATTTTCACTGAACACACACCAATTCTCTTCCAATAATTTTTAGTGCAGTCCAGCTAAAATGCAATCAACTCAGCACTGAAACACAACGAACTAAACAGCCCCTCATCAAGCAATGAAGGGAAGCCCTCGAGGAGTCCCACCTCTCTCCACTCACACACACCTCACGGTTTATGACTGCAGTCTTCTACCAAGCTTTACCAAGACTAAAATCACATATAAGGAAGGAGAGAGAAAAATTCTCATTTGATAAATCATGCCACAAAATCTCCTTTGGTCAGTTACCCTCTATGTCCACAATGTGTTGGCAATCTATTCAAACATGATCTTTCAATTTACTTGGAATTAAATCACAAAGGAATCTGATTTCTGAGTAATTGTCTTCTAGATAATTTTAACATGAACATTATTTTGCTTTGAAATATCTCATTTCCTGAATTATTGCACTATTAAGGTTTTGGCTGATTACCTTGTTCTTGAAGAATTAAATGAGATAGTGTATCACTTATCCTTTCCATGTTCTCATTAATCACTATATTTCATAATGTCTCTATTGAAACTACCTGTCCTTATAATGTAAAACAGGTGATGTGGTAATGAAAATAAATTGTTACTGTTAATCAGAAAACTGATTTGTCAACATGTATCAGGAAAAATCAGTCCAATCAAAGTTAGCAACAGATTAAGTACCAAGCCTTTATATAAAGCATAATAAATAATGATTGGAATTTCAAAATATACCATCCAGAATCAAAGTGATTAAAAGTACAATCCTATGTAAGTTTAGATAGACCTTGCCCTCTGGAGTTGTAGGCCTTCCTTCTACCCAAACTTGAATAGACTTGTAGCCTAAATGAAGTTGACTTTAAAATGATAGTTCTGCTATAAACATCAAGTAAATACAATTTTAAATCTCCAAAGCATATATGTCACAACAGGCGAACAGGCTAGCTTAGTGTAATTGTTTGATTAATTTAACAGTATACTGTAGAAAGCAACAGAAGATACAGTACTTGTCAGACACCATCAATTTTCCCAGCAATGTCAACTGCTAAGAGGAACCAGAACACATCAGCTGAAAGCAAAGAGAAGAGAATTCCCCCACTCAATTTTCCACAGGGGATAGTTTTCCTTACAATCATTAAATAAATAAATAAATAAAATATTTCCTCTGGTTGTGCAAGAACCACAAGAAGGCTAATAAATGATAAATAGCAGAACTAGGAACCCCCAAATTGTTAGAAGCATTTAAAGCAACTGTGCCATAAGAGCTTCTTTTTTTCCTACTCTGTCCAGAATTAGTCACCTTTCTGCTCTGAATGATCCTCAGCCCATCATGCCATTTGAAGACTTTAAAACAATATAATAGCAAATTAAGAAAATATACTTAAAACATCAGTGAAAGTAAAATACCATATTTAAAAGCTTTCAAAATCTCAAGTAGAATGAAGACATTTTAGCATGCTACTCAAAATTAAACAAAGATGGATGGGTTCAGTCTAACTTCCTTAGGGAGCCAAGTCCACAGCTGGAGGGCTCATGCAGTCACATATTCACATTAATATGATGGGATGTGCAACAGAGCCATTGAAGCAGATTGTAAGCTGCAGGCAGATTCATACTGTAAGTGGTCTTTGAATTTCTTGACCTCAAACCTTTCAGAGCTTTATAGCTAAGAATAAACACCTGGAATTGGGCCCAGAAACAAACTGAAAGTTGGTATAGTATCAGCAAGATGTACACAAGAAAGCAACTGGATAAATTTGCACCAAATGCAGTTCCTTAACATGCTTAAAGGGAGCACCACATAGAGTACATTAAATACTGCAGTAATATTAAGCACTGCAGGTGAACATTTCAAGGATGACTGTGGCCAAATCTATCTTTTCCAGGAAAGGATGGTATGGATGTACCATGCAAAGATAGGCAGTTTTGGCCACAGAAGCAACATGACCCTCCAGGAACAGGTACAGAAGCACCCCCACAAGCTGTGAACTTGATCCTTTAAAGCCAGCAGAACTCCACCTAGAACAGGCTGTACTTCTAATCCTGTGTTAGCTTGTATTCTCATCAACATTATTTCCATCCTATCTTAACTGAGCCTCAGCTTGTTCCGCATATCCAAAGTATCAGTGTGACCGATACAACAGCTCAAGACTTTAACAATCTCCTTGGCATCAGCTGAAAAAGGACAGAGTGGGATATCATCAGCATAATGATGAAACCCAAGCCCAGAATTCCAGATGATTTCTTTCAGCAGCTTCAGGCAGTTATTACCGCACAGAATTTCACAGAGCAACAGAGTTCAGTTTCCCAGCACCAACTTCTTGAGGCATACAATCAGGCAGGATCTGGAGAACATTATTCAGCCTTACCAAAACTCTTATCAGTTCAATGGCTTAATTAAATTTTGCAGAGGACTTGGTAGCAGGGGGTATTCTAGTGTTAAACTGAGCTGAAGACAAAAGGATATAGAAACAGAGAGAGTCAGAAGGGGCCTCCCGGGCCATCTAGTCCGACCCCCAGATCCAGCTGGCACAACTCATGACATGCCTACCATGTGCATGTCCATATGATCAAAAGCAAAGTTCCCAAATATCATATGTTTTAGCTTAAAGCTCTTCCTGCTGATTAAACCTCAGAAGAGGTATTTCAACCTTTTAAAATGAGGAGGGAAATGTACAAAACCAGGAAATCACCAATCGAAGGTGTCTGGATACAAGGAGATGAAGCCAGGCAACAGGAGTGTGATCTCCTGATAAACTTCAGAGGACCAGAATTTGATGGGTTGTTACTATTGGGTCTGAAGTTTTGCACCCTCATCAGATTTCTTGAACATATGCTACTAAGTATGCTCAATGCTGCAAAATAAAGGTGGTTCCCTTTTTCTACCCACACTTCCCATCAGATGCCACTACTCCCTTTAGGCAACTTGTGTCCCTTCACATATTTTGACCTACAACTCCTATCATCCCTAGACAGCATAGCCAATGATGAGGGATGATGGAAGTTATAACCCAAGACATTTGGAGGGCTGAATGTTGCCCATCCTTCCTCTATTCAAAAGGGGGGTAAGATAAATCTAAATTCTTTAAAATGAGGATCAGATTCTGTTCCATCATATTTAGTACCCAAATAAGTCTGAAATACAAACCGGGAAAAGCTACTATCATATACATTAAGAGACATATGTAGATGTACAAAAGTTCTGCAAACCAAGCAATAAAATAGCATGCCAATTCTCCCTACTGTAGCCCTTACCCTTTCTATACCACCAACAGAAATATTTAACCTAAAACAGCAATAAAATTAGTGATGCCATGTATGTGATTACACTGTTATTGGACTCACCTGAAAAGGGGAAGGTGACTTTTTACCCGTGTGTTGTAAATAAAGGTATACCTACAATAAGAGATGTAGACAGAGCAGGTGTTTTTTAAAGTTTCAAACTTGATAAATTCTATAATTGGAGAAATAATTGTTATAGTAGAGCTTGATACATAAGTATGCCTTAACCCAGCAGAAATGTTTAAATATGTTCGGCATTACATCACAAATATGATGCACACAATGAATTCTGATAGATATTAGATGTATCATCTAGGCCATCAGGGAACATTGTCCAACAGAGAATATTGTCCCATCAGAATTGTTTAGGTGTGCCCAGTGAAAAGAATCCAGGCAAAAAGAAAAAAAAAGAAAGCTATGTTGATATCCTGGTGATCAGAAATGGTAATTCCTATTGTGAAATAAACTAGATATAGAAAGCTGAAATCCAGCACAACTGAAAACATTAAATATTTTTTTAAGAAACCTGAACGGTAAGAAAACTGAAGGCATATCAGAACCACTGCTAAATAATGCCCCCAAATACAGCCAAACATCCCAGAAGGATGCCATGATCAATGGTACTAAATGCAATTGTAAGGTTCTGCAGAGCCTACAGGGATCTCCCCTCCTGCCCAGTTCTTGCTATAGGTCATCCACAAATGCAATCAAAGCTGCTTTTGTCTCAATAGCAGGCTTGAAACCAATCTGGAAAAGGTCCAGATAAGATAAAGCTAGTTGCTACAACTCATTCTAGAAACTTATTTAAGAAAAGAATATGAGCTAGGGTATTCTGAGCCAATAACTATTTTTCCAGCAGTGGTCTCACAACACACCTTATTTTTTAGGAAACTAGGACATCTCCTTAAAGAAGCATTTCCAAACCTCTGCCACCCAACTCACCAGTACTCTTCTGGGAGCTTTTACAAGCCAGAATAGCCATGGAACTAACAGACTCATTCATCAAAAACTGGATAGGTGGCTACTTCAACCACTAGCCCAGAGTCTCCTTTCAAAGTAGAGTTGAAGTTGCATCAAATGTAAGAGATTTTACCAGTAAAATGTTTTGCAAAGTCATCACAGTGGGGTCCCAAGAATCTCCACTGCTCTGAGGTGTATATAATCCCTTTTCTACAAAAACAATTCCATAGGACAAGACTGTGCTGATACAATGATAACAGAGATGAAGTGCTTCTTCATTCTAGCTCATGAGCAGATTCATCCAAGTCTCCTTCCATCAAGGCTCTAGCAGTTCAGTGCTCTAAACTACTGAGAAAACCAACCTGGCCACACATTTACTTACAATGTATTTTCAGCATATTTCCCTTAAAAATATATAGGCCTTATTATGTCCTTGTGCCCAATGCCATGGGTTTTCAAAGGGGCATGGAAAAAGCTTTTTTGTTTTTGTTGAGCAACTCAGGTTCTCCATGTTTCCATTCATGATTGCTAGAAAGCAAATGAGCTCCAGCTATCCTGCAATTATCTGGGTAAATCAATGTCTGGAGTAAAGCAACTCTTACAGAAATGGGAATGACTCACTTGGTGAGTGAGGTGGGGAGAAGTACATTTTTGCCAACCAACATGAAATATTTATCTTTTAAACTTGCCAGAATGCAGAACATCTTCAAGTGCTTTATACTGACAAGTATTCATGGTCCCTTCATGGCCAAGATGCAAAATTCACAACCTAAATGCATGGCTCTTTGGTACAGATACCAGTTCCCACATTAAGATGACATGCAGTGATGATGGAATATTGTTAAATTTATTAATTTCTTCTGAAGATACTCTAGAAGCAAATTCAAACAAGTGATTTTGATTACATAAATCATTAGGAACTTTTCACATCCATAATTTAAAAAATCATGCCTACTTGTATAGTCTAATCTCCAGAATGAAATTTGGATTTTTTTCAATTTAATTTGTTCAGACCCTTACTATCCTGATGTGATAAACTCCTAACAATGAACACATTTTCTGTCAGAAAAAATAAACTTTAAGGCAAAGTCTTTAGTTAAAATGAAGCTCTTCAATAAAACTCATTTTAACCATATGCTAAAATGGTCCTCTACATGAAAATGCTTTATAAACAAATGTGAAAATAACCTAACACTAGCAGACAACCAAAGTGGAAAGAGAAAGTGATTTATAAACTCATAGCTACAAATTCTACAACTATCAGATGTGCTTAACACGTTGGTCATTATTCAAAAAGAAAGCTTAATGTCATAATGTTAAACAAAAACGCATTGCTCTTCTACCCTTTGTATTATGAAACACTGTAAAAACAGAAATGGAGGGAGAAATGAATACCATACCTTGGAAATCTTTGTTAGTATACAACCTTAACAATTCACAAACCCTGAAACACAAGCATTGCGAAACTTGCAGGCCAGAATTTGAACTTTCATCCCTAGGGTGGATGCTTTCCTTCCACCAGTAGGGGTCCCTCCTTGGTCAATTTTGAATATATTTCTGCTGCACTTGAAACTTTTCTTGAGAAATACTATGACCATTCAAGATACGTATTCTCTCCTACCGTCCCCCAGTGCTAAAATAAGGAAAATCTGAGAAGAGGGGTACGGGTTCTTTTTTGTGCAACTTTCCCAAGTTCCGACGCCACCGTAGCAAATCTACCAAATCCAAGCTGCGCTCGAGGCTGTGATGGGGTTCCCCTACAACCACCATCTAATTAGCTTCCTCCCTCTCGTCAGAAGCCTAAAACTGCCGTGAATCAGCTTGGGGGGGGGGGGGCGGGTGTCAATAAATTAACCTTCTCGCTACCTTCATTTTTTAAAGAGAAATGTCCGAAAGGACACGGTGGCGCGACTCTAGTACGGCGGGCCATAAAAATGTACGTTTAGAGCGAGAGAGAGAAACCGGGTGTTTGACTGAGGAAGTTGCATAATGAGAAAGGCTCTTGTTTGCTAATCGGGTCCCGTTTTTCTTATGGAGCCTACGACGGGAAGAGGAGGTTGCCTGTAAAAAACTCAGAGTTTTTCCCCTTTGCCCTTCTTTTTCGTATTCCCCACCTTCAGGAAAGCCCGAGGCCGTTTTCTCTTCCAAGGAGAGAAACGGTTCTGGATTCTTTCCCCCCTTGATTAATTCTGCTCGGTGCCTCTCATTTTCCCAGCTCCAGGATCCTCTCGCTTGGAGAAGAATCACGCTCCGTCTTGAGGGGAGGTGTCTCCTTCTTCCGTTGGTCTCTTCAGCCCAGCCCCACTTTCACCCACACTTCCGAGGGGTTCCCCGTTTGCGCCTTTCAAACTTTTCCCATCACGCTTCCTGCTGCTGCGTGCGTGTGTGAATAACGATGAAGGAGCTTCGGGGGATTCCTTCCCACCACACGCTTGATCATATTCTACCTCTTCAAACCGCACAGCAGGCCTTAGTTCCCCGCCAGACACGCATTCATGGGAAGCTTTGGACGCGCGCCTTCCAATCTCCCCAGGAAGGGCTTAGAACAAGTGTGCCAACCTACAGCCGTCGCTTGTATGGACTACACTACAGGAAGCGCAGAAGGGCAGTAAAGTTCCAGGTTATGAGGCAGCAGAATTCACACGAACCATCTTCCTTCGCTCTGTAAACACCCCTTCCTCCTCCCCAACAGACACACGCAAAAGAAATCCCCGCGTCTTTCACGAAGGGAGGGAGCTTTTGCTGCCAGTATTCCAGTGCCACTCTCCCGTCTCCCGCGAAGATAACCCGTCCCTCACCCCACACACGTTTCCACTCCGTGAAAGACACGCACGGCGAGGAGCTTTCCCCCCGCCACGGCCGCTCCCGGGCTCCCTCCCACTAGAAACTGCGAGGAGCGTCTCTCTGCGCGTGTGGTGTGTGCGTGCGTGTGCAAAGTTTGCCCAAAATGGCGGAATTGGGGAGCTCAGTATTATATTTCTATATACCGACACACGCGCGCGCGCGCGCGCGCACACACGCACACACACCGCCACGCGCGCACGCACGCCACAAAGTCCAGAAGCTGCAAAAGGGAGACAAGAAGGTGGGCGCATATTATAACAATCCTCATAATAATAAATAAATAACCCGGAGAAGCTGGCGGCGGCGGCGGAGGCTGCTGCGCGCTGATCTGAACAGGCCTTTTTTCCTCTCTCTCTCTCTCCGAAGGAGAGACACAACACACGCTACACATTCAACCGGTATATCCCGCCGCAGCCAAATCTGGGTGGGAAAAGTCCTTTCTCCCGTCCCTGCCCCCCATCCCTGCGCGCACGGCCAGCCCTTATTCCTCCCTCTCCGGAGGAAAAAGCCCATAAACAAAACAGAACGGCCGCGGCGGCGGCGGCCCCTCCACGCCACCCGCCCTCTCGGCTGGCGCCCCAAATCTTCGCTGCGGCACCCCCTGGCAACCACCCGCTCCCCTTCGCCTCCCCTCCCCCAAACGCTGCCTTCAGAAGTGTCAAGAATGCCGTCGGCCGCCTCCCGAGCGGTGGGGCAGGACACCGCAAAATCGCCGCCCCCCCCACCTCCCGCGCCGCCCGTCAATATGTGGGTGACTGGGAAATGCCCTCCTCGATTCGCTACCACTTCTGCCTCACCCACCCCCCAATACCCGACATGTGTGTGGGGAGAAGGGAGAAAAGGGGTGGCTGGGTGGGAAATGCTTGCACCCCCCCCCCTTTTCTCTCTCTCTCTTTTGTTCCTCTTTCACTCTCACGCACTTCGGATTTTAGGAAAGATCCCCAATGACCCACCCACTTCTCGGCCACTTCAGAGTCATCTGGCCACTTTCCCCCTATTAAGTTCCATCCCCTTCGCAAAATGTTGTAGTGGGACTCTGACCCCCCCTTTCCGTTTTTTAACCCCCCTCCCTTTTTATCAGGGAGACAGAGGAGGTGCGCTTGCCTCCCTTTATCTCTCTTAACTTTCATCCTCAGCGAAGGGAGACCATTGAAAGCCATCCTCAGCCTTGTGCATTGCAGTGAATGGGTTAGCAATCAGATCGGAACCAGCCGCTTCCTTACCCCCCCCAAATCCTCTCTCTCTCTCTTTCTCTCTCTTTCTCTCTCTCTTTATTTTTTTCTCCGTCTCTCGAGTAGTCCTGACAAATATGGTCCAGGGCTGCGGGCACAAGTGAGCATGCGCCCGTAGAGTCAGGGCTGGGGAAAGGGGAAACTGCTGCTGCTGCTGCTGCTGCTGCTGCTGCTGCTTGCGCTGCCGCCGCCGGGGCGGCCGTTCTTTCCTCCGCTGCTATGCCTCAGCCCTTGGGAACCGACGCAGCAGCAGCAGCAGCAAGCGCGGCGGGTATCTTCCCCACCCCGCGCGGAGCCGCAGCAGCAGCAGCAGCGGCATCTTCAAAGTGCATCCGCGTCTCCGCCGATATAATGGCAACGGTGAAGGCATAATAAAGGGAAATAAGGACCTGTCTTGCAGTCTCTATTTTTAGGTTTCTATTATTGTCATTACCTTTTCTTTCAAGGCTAGTAAAATCAGAGTTATTATGATCTTTATCGTAAAGGAAAGTTTAATCAACATGGTCTGGTAGTCTCAGATAGTTAGGAAAGTATAAATGGAGAGAGCAAGGGTGTTTTGTTTTTTTTTAAGGTGGAGGATGGTCTCCAAATAATCTTCTGAAAAAAATATTTTTAAAAATGCATTTCATTAATAAAAGGGCATTTTTAAAAGATACAGGTGTAAAAGAAAATGTTATTTTGCTGGCATCTGCTATAATGCAGATTTGTTTTTAAAGTGTTTTATGTGTTCTTCCCATCTTGGCAACATTCACAAATAACCGGGCTAAAAAGCATTCTTAGCATCACTTTAAAACACTCTAAATATACATTACTTCAAACTTCAACAAAGGGAGACCATTGAAAGATCTCCTTAATTTTCAGCCTCCTTTAATTTTATCTAATAAAATCCTATGTGCAATGCTTTCTAAGGGTTCATTCACCCAGCTAAATTTTGTGGTAGAAGCACTTAGGGTCTATTCACAAAACTATTCTGTTTTGTTTTTATTTGATTCGGTTTCTCTTCCCCAGACTAAAGTCACCACAAGATAATGTTTTTCATGGTAAGCATATCTTATGTATGCCCATCATCATATGTCCTGATCATTAGCCGAAATGCAACATTCTTTAAAGAAAATGTTCACCATACATTAAACTATTGTCTAGGTACATGTTGAATCATTAATATGACAAGTTACATCAACCCCCAAAATGAATGTGTATCTTCTGCTCAGAAATATACTTCAGTGAGCCAGCACTAATATAATAATATAATTAATTGGTTTTATAGGAATTAGTGTGCCATACATTGTAACTTCTATAATAGCCAGTTTTCATTTATATAGCATTTTAAAAAAAGTTGTGTTTTGCTGTCACAACAACTCAGTGCACTAGGTGCTATTACTTTGATTTTAAAGAAGTAGGACTGTCATCTTCAGTATGATACTATTATGGATCTTTACAGGCTGAGCTAGAAAGGAGAGGGGCAGTTCAATGAGCCCCCTCAGTTTCACACAACATGCATCTGGCACTTAGGCTGGCTTGAGAAGACTGGCATTGTACTTTACCCACCAAGTTATAGGGGCTCTTTGCTGTAAGAGTGCTTCTTGCTAACTATACTACACTAGCATTGGTGTTCCTTGGCTTCATGTGTGTCCTACAGCTAATCATTGCCCTGGAATTAATGCCCATGTGAAAATACCTAAAAGGAATTAAATGATGTTATTGTCAGCAAATATACTGGGATGGACTGTGAGATTTGAGACATAGATGTGGATGGGACCTGGCAGGTTGAGCTATGAATCAGGAACTGTCCACTTTGAGTTGCAGTTTTCCTTCTAACCTCAGTAGACAGCCTTATGCAAGTTATTCTTGGTCTTAGTTCCACTACCCCAAAATGGAATTAATAGTGTTCTATCTTACAAGATTATTGTAAAGATTACAAAGAGATGATATATGGGAACTTTCAAGAGTTTTGAAAACTTTAAAACCATTGTACCATTTTTAGTGCTCCAAGGTAAGCCGTCCTGAGATGTTGTTGTAAAGGACGGCATATAAATGTTATAAATAAATAAATAAATAAATAAAGGTACTGAGAGCTATTAGAAATATTTTTGAATATTAACCATTCCTTCACAAGTAGGTGGGCATTTTTGTCTCTGTTTTGTATTCAGTAAGGCCCAGTTTCTTCTTAGTGTGGTGGACTGATACTGACAAAGTGAGAGATAAAGCTCTGATCATGTGAAGTGCTGATCAGCCAAACTATTACTTCTCCAATTACTGAAACAAAAGTTTGCTATTTTCTCCTCTCTTGCACCAAAGAAAAATGATCTTGTCCTTCCTCCAAAGGGATTAGGGCAGCCTACAAAGCATTGTCCAATTATAACTTCATAACTGTGAAGTAGGTTAGACTGAGATATATTTTCATGCAAAGTTACCCACAGAATTTTATGATTGAACCTTACCCTCCTAGCCTGATTCACTATGCTCTATTGACATTTCGGGACTCCTATGTTATTTTTTAAGAAATAATAAAAAAGCAATAATTTAAAGCTTCAGTAGAGAACTTCCAACCTGCAGACCCTAAGGCAGCCCAAAATCTTCCCTAATCAAGTCAACAAGCCCTGACCCCTTACCTGATCTCCCGCTTGGAACTTTGTTCTCTCCCTCAGAGCTTTGTTTTCCCCTTGCCTTTCCCAATGGAAGTGGTGGAATGAAGCTGACTCTTGACTGAATCACAAGGCCTGAAAAGAGCTTCTCTAACTCAGTGCTTGACCTGCCCCACATTTTCCAAATGAGGGAAGCCCCTGGTGAAAAAACGTGGCTATGACTAAGAGAGTGCCTTAAGGGAGACTTCTCCTCCTGGATAATGGAAAGTGCAAGGTGGAAAAAAACCCATGAGGGACCCACCATCACCTTGACATGTCAGCTCAGTGCCTCTCATATTGGATTGCCCCTCACCCATTTTGGGGATGTGGCACTGCCCATCCCTGACATCCAGCCTATGGGGGCTTCTCCAGTTGCAAAGTGGCCTTTAGGGATCAAGCAGTTCCCTACTCCTGCTTTTATGTCAACTTAAGACATGTGGGCATAAGCCAGAAGTAAGCAGGCACAACCATGCAGCTAAATCCAAGGGGTAAGCAATCTAAGGGTTGCCAGATGTCTGGTCTACTACTCCTGGCAATTGACCATAGTATTTTTACTCCAAAACATCTGGAGGTCACTGTTGCCTACCCTTTCAATATTGCCCTATGCTGGTGTTCACACATCCCACATAATTATAACTGCTTGAGTGGAAGTGCTGAGCCTCACTCACTGAGTCTAACTCCTTCATCACATTCTTGTTACTCAGTCCCACTGCTCTCAGTATTTAATGTGGGAAAGTCTAAAGCTGGAAGCACATTCTCTATGAGGAGATGCTTCCCAGCACTTAGAATCCTGATTACGGAAGGTTCTAAACGACATGGGAGCCTACACAGATAGACCATAGAATTCCCAGCTTCCCAACTTTCCTCCCAATGAAAGGATGCTGAGAGCAGAGTCAGCAGGGGCATCTAATCACATGAGGAATGGCAAGTACAAGATAAAGCTTAAGTCTCATCAAAATAACTTAATAGGGCTGTCAAAACGTATTTTGCTCAAGAAGGGTTAAGAGGGAACGTTTTTAACTGGTTATGGCTGTTTTGCCAAAACAGTATAGATTCAGTTTTGCAACTTTCTTTTATATTTATAGCTTTCCCTTCATAAAAATGATTGCAAAACAGGTTACATATATGAAAATATATGTCATCACTGTCATCACTCATGAACCTTTAGGTACCGCAACACAGTGTTCAGAGGCACCATGGCATCCACAGGGCCTGCAATGGCACCCTAAGTTCTTCCCTCCCTTCCCATTCAAACAATATAGCTTAAAAATCTTGAGAAACGTTAGTGCATTCTTCTTTATCTCCCTTTCAAGCTTTGCTATTTCTTTCCCCTCTACCCAATTTGCCTTGCTATCTCTCCCTTCCAGCCTCTTCTACCATTGCCATT